CGCACATGATATGTACCGTGCAGTGATCATGCGCTTTAATGAAAGTGAAGAAATTGTTCGTCACTTGTCTTCACTTTCGTAAAAGTGACGAAAGTCACGCACGTGATAGTATCGTGGACTAGTTCTGCACTTTTATGAAAGTGACGTGCAAGTCACTTTCATAAAAGTATCATTCACTTTCATACCATGAAATGACTCTCGTAATAGTGATTTGACTGTTGTAGGAGTGTCTGTGAAAGTGAGTGTGGCTTTCACTTTCATTGTGGGAGGGAGTGACGTTTACAACAGTCAATACCACTTTTGTAAAAGTGACTATCACTTTTTACAAGTGACGTCACTCTAATGAAAGTGATTGTCGCTGTTATAAAAGTGCTCCTCACCGTTGTAAGAGTGACAGTTCACTGTCATAAGAGTGACATTCACTGTTATTAACAGTGAATGTCACTCTTATAACAGTGAACCCATTTACACGATAATGTGGGAACCCCGTTTGTCTTCGAACACCGGTAGAATCATATCGATCGGCGTAGATTGAGTTTCTTCCGTTCTGCAACTCATCGATTACGCGATGGATATGTTTTCTGTCGAACACGAGGAAGGCAGGGGCATTATCATGTTCGTGAGGAGTGACGTCGCCAAGGTGGACGACGGCACAGTTGCCCACGAACGCCATGATATTTCGCCTCGTCTTATGCCCCGGAAATTTCGTTGACGTCCGTCCCTTGGCGTCCGCGAAAAACGTTGTTGTGCCAAGCTCGATGTACCAGATATCATTAAAGAATGTCTTTTGGACCAAAGGGTAATCACAGGTTGGGTTGCGACACAGCCCGCAGGTGTCGACCGCCCCTTGATTCCCGACACTGTCCACGCACCTCGCCTTTGTAGCCGTCCACGTAGACTGTTCGAGGCATACCTCCGTAGTCACCAGCGATCTTCTCCCGCAAGTTGAAAACGCTTCCTTACCGAGAGCAGTGCGCCGGAAACTTTCCACAAGGGCTTGATGGGATGGCAGAGAACCGTGCATGTGAGTGGTGCCGTGGTGCCGGTTAGCCGCTCAGGAGGACTCTGGCCTTCAAGTCTAGAACGCCGCATTTCCAGGTTTGCAGAAGCCTCTTCGGTCGTCTACAGACGCCTGGAAAATTATTTGTTCTCGAAATTGCCTTTCTCTGGAGATCTAGGTGTCATATTCTTCGCAACTTCGGTTTGGCCCGACCACGCTTTCGCTTTGGTTTTCAAACTGCGCCCGGTGCGTCGACCTCAGACTTCTACTGGTAATGATGCAGCAAACAGAGTGGGATTTCGGCGTTGTGGTATTGATGGAGTGCATAATAATGTCCACGCAGAGACTGCACCGAGGAGTGAACGACTTAACCTCACGTTCTCGTAGGTAGAGCTCCAGGTGTGGATGACGTTGAGCCTTCGTATGGTTGTTGAGCTCATTACCGAGAGTAGTGCTCAATGAACACCCTGTTCGCAATATGTTTCTTCAAATTTCTTGTTTTTCTCGGGAATCTGAGCCTCAGTTTCTTCCCCCACCTTTTACCAAACGGGAACCTTTCACCAATAAACGGGAACTATGACGCTCTCGGTATCTACACTCTCCCCACTACCTAGCGCGACAACACTATCGCTTGCGAATTTCCCAGGTATTGTTGACATGTCTCGCATTTGTACATTCGCGAACAGTCCACGGCCACCACCAGGCGATATAGTGCCCAACGACAAAGGACCGTTTACACAATCCCTCCATAATAAACGTATCACCGACCACAATGTCCCAAGTCTTCTCGACGATCTCTGGCATCTCTACCTTCGTGAACGATCCACGGCCATCGTGCATTATCGCCTGGTAGTGCCCATCGTGGGTGTACAGCAACATGGCGTTCCGGGTGTCTAGAGCCGGTGTCACACCATCCGTGCGACGATCAAAGTCCAACACTAGCCAAACCGTGTTGTATACCGTGCTGAAAACTTTCAGACACCATTCATTCGTCCCTTTGGGGAATGGGCGCGGAAATAAATGATCCAGGAAAAATACCTGAGGCAGAGACCAGCCCGTGAAACCGCGTTTGACCTGCCAACTCTAGCATGCAATCTGATCGAGCAGACGCAGCACGAGGGCGGAGGCGTCAAAGATATGCCTCTCCTGAAAGTACCGCGGAGCCGTGGCGGCGGCGTAGTAGCGCCTCTTTTTGTAATGTCGGAGCATATTTTTTAATTTAACATAATTTAAAAGAAGGAGAACAAAAAAAGGCGGCGATTGTGGACGAACGTCAACCACGGCGAAAAATCCCTGTGTGGTGGTGGTTGTGACGGCGGGGGCAGGAAGATCGCTTCCTCCATTGGTTCACTGAAATTTTGAAGGAGGTGGCTCTGTGAGTGAGTCACGCGTGTGTGTGTGGAGATGCCTATCTATGGTGGATCCCTTTGTCTCTTCTTCTCCTGTCTGTCTGTCTATCGTCGGCTGCGGGATCAATCGTCGTGCCCGTCGTCATTGTAGTATAGTAGTGGCGGGGAACACCGCGCCCCCGCCGGATTCGAAGCAGCAGCCCCAGAAAAACAGAGAAACAAAAAGAGGCGCTGTGCGTGGGTCGAAAATGTCCAGCCTACTACATACTGCTGTGTGAGTCGATACTGCTGCTGTTCCACCAGCCAGCAAACTCTGGATCAGGCAGAGAGACGCTCGTCCACAATTTTTCAAAAAATCAATGTCGTCGTCGCGTCGAACCTGTTCTTCTGGCGTTTCTAATTTGTTTTTTATGTCTCTCGGCGCGGAGCGAGACGTACGTATGTAGACTATACGTCTCTGTAAAATACAAACTGCGCGTGCGTGCCAGTACATACATACATACGCTGTATTCTCAAAGGACGACGAGCAGTCAACGCAAGGATGATGGTGGGCGAGAGGCAGCATAGAAGCGAAAACATTCGCCGCCCGGCCTGTCGGTGTAGTAGACTATGTACAAGACTAAGAAGACCACAGCAGCAGAAGAAGAAAATTTCCTTCGATCGAGATCACCACACAAAACTAAACGCGGAGGAGATCATCGGTCGGCCGGCGGATCCATCTCCATCCATCCCCGTTCGTGTAGTCATCCGAGATGATGATGAGTTTGCAGAAGAAAGATCATCATCAGAAGGCACGACTTTCCCAAATATCTCCTGAGGTGCCATCCTCGATTCCACCGTGGATGACGCCACCCGCCAAACAAAGTATCTTGGGTTGTGCCTGTTGTTTTTTGGAATTTTCGAAATTCCGCCGCAGGTGCGTTGACCAATCAGCGAACTGCGTGCCACAAATATTGATTCAACCAGCGCACAAACTGGTTTAACGATGAAACCGCCAAAACACTCGTTCTCTCGATGACTTAACAAGGCTGGTGCAAAATACCATGTGTTCCACGTATTTATAAAGCCTACATCGATCATATTTGAACACCCCCCTGCTCATCTCTACCCACATGGCTGTGACCGTGAACGGTCGGGCCGTGGCCAATCCAATCGCCCACGTGCGATTCTCAACCCCAATTCACCCTCAGGTCCAACAGGACCAGGGTCCAGAGCACGAAGCACCAAGCACGTGGTCAACGCAAACTACATACGCGGAAAGCCGTTCCGCGATATCATTCCCTGGGCCCGCCAGAAGAATAGCCGCCGCAAGACACAAGATTTTCCAAAATGCGGGAAAAGGGATACGGTTCCGAGGTCCCACACAATAGCGATCTTCACTTTTCCGCTCCATCGTACAGTTGGCGCCCGCAGTTAAGAAACGCGTATTTCAGGTCCAGCCTCGAATTCTTAATGTGGGCTATAAACTCAGCGTATGTCGTTCAGTTTCTTACATCAAGTTTCTTATTTTTTCGTACAGCCAAATCCTGCTGAATTTCTTAAATCGGCAATTTCTTATTTCTCTGCTTGCATACTACACAACGTTCCAAATATACAAATGATTTGCACTGCTTTCCTCGACTCCCGTACTCAACCCCGATTCTCACTACCGACGGCTGCACGTGAGACCAATCCCTAGAAGCGAAATGTATCCAGCGGCAACGACTCGCTATCGCTACAAGGTCCTGTACCCCCCTTATGAATGAGGGCTGAAACTAAACAAATGCATAGAGAGAGAGCTGTGGGGAAAGAGCGAGAGAGCCGTGGGGCTTGTTTCTTATTCGACACACTCCCCCGTAAACCCTCGTTTCTTATGTAGTAGGGCAGCGGTCGCCGCTGTGTTTCTTATTGAGACATTTTTTATTGTGTGACCCAGATTGAGCGATGTTTCTTAACTCTATTTTCTTGTTTTTCGTGAAAAAGTGAGCCTCAATTTCTTAACAAAATATTTCTTAACTGCGGGCGCCAACTGTATTCCTACGGTACCATCCACACCGAACAAATACTGTGGAATAGCAGGTAACTGCACTGCTGTGACGATTACCACACGCGGAAAGCAGCCCTACAAGCGACCACTTTCAAGAAACGGCTAAACAATTACTGAGGAGCACTGACCTCCTTGCCCAAGACTAGGGTGCAGTTCACGCCTCACATGCACGCCTGCGTTGTTGCGTGTTTCCAACAGACTGCCAGAGGCCAAACAAGCAAGCGTTTGGTGGTACCAAAACGGAACACCCCGCAATTACATACTACAAGACAACAAACGGCTCCTCCTCGCACGCGGTCAGCCAAAATAACGGGACGGAGAGTCAACTCAACCAGTGCATGTTCTCTCTTACCATACATCGGTATCGAACATCGGTTTCAATTAATGTATTTCCCCCCCTACTACACTCACACCCACTCCACTCGACTCTACTTCACTTTCCTCAGTATCGTTGTTCGTCAGACACGTTGGTTTTGCCAGCCACCGGTGCCCATGGAACCGCGTTTTCTCTCTCGTCTTCCCCCCCTTCGGTGCGTAATTCAATCCTTGATTGAGGCTACCGTTGGTGATCCGATCAAAATTTCAGTTTTTCAGCCCAAGCGTAGACTAAATTACGTACGAAGTACTACGCAAGGCATCCATCGGTGATGCGGTCGAAGTGCTCGGAGTCGACCGCCACCTTGTCGCGCCACCACTCGTAAATCTGGTCGGCGGTGATCGTGTGGAAATCATCTTCCCTCGTGACGATGACCTTTGTTTGTCGGACACACACGGCACGCACACACACGGCGGAGTGGGGGCTCAGTGAATCAATCCACATACGACGGTGGGGCCTTACCTCAACCTGTCATGTCAAGCAAACGCATGTGCCTCGTTCTGGGGAAGCTCACGGCCAGGGAAACCCGTGCATCCTGTTGGACTAGCGCAGGATATGGGGAATATGTACAGGGGAGAGCTCCGAAGGAGGTATTCATGAGCAAGCAAACAATAACAACGACAACATCAAAGAACCAATTTCTTTCAACTCCACCCGGAAACGGCAAGAAGTCGTCAGCTCGCACACACACACACCAAGACAACCAGTTTCAAAGAAACAGCGGAGCAAAGTTTCAACACAACAGTCCTCCTCACATAGCCGCCTTCCCGTTCCTCTTCCCGTTCTTCCCCCCCTAACGCTGCCGCATATCACCCGACCCCCTCCCCATTACACCTCTTCTATTAGCACCAACGCCGTGTCCGTTCTTGCAGCAGTGCAATACCGCAAGACACGCGTAAGTCTGTCTCCCCGCTGTGTGAGCTCACCTCGCCCGAGACCTCGGGAAAGCCCGGAACCACGGCGAACGGCGGCTCCTCGAGGTGCTGTCGAGGGAGCACGAAGACCCTCCCCGTGCTGAAGACCACGGTGTGCGGCGTGTTCTCCTCGACGAGGAAGCTGACGCACTTCTCGATCGCCTCGCCTGCGGCCTCCAGATCCTTCCCCAGCGTGTGGAACACCTGGAGGGATGTGGGTGCAGACGTTACTTACACCATGCCATTTGCCGACATGGAGAAGTTTGTGACTGTTCCGGCCACTCCTGCTGTAAGTACTGCCATGTGAACGAACGGCGAGGACCCGTGTGCCTACGTGGGTCATTGCTTCGACTGGTAGGAAAACTTTCCGATCATTCCCTTCGTCCTTTCCGGTGTGCTGTTCCTTGAAGGAACAACACGGATGTATCTCTAGGGCCTCAGGCCATTGTTCATTTTGAAACACATCAGCGTGCTTCGTCCAATCTGGAAGGGAAGTAGGTCACTGAGGCGGTGGCCACACTGTCGTATACAGACACCCTCAGGCATACCTAGGTTTATTCGGTACGTTGCGTAGCGAGCACAAGTAGGTTTCGTTTCGGCTACCGCTCGTCTGATGCATATGGCGATTAGTTTGCTTGGGAAAGTGCACGTAACCGGGTATACCAAACTCGTGCTCGGTGTTTCGACCACACCACGGGTCCGTGCAGCGGTTTGGGCGAAAGACATCGTTCAAAGACAAACACCAACGTTCATGCGAAAGCTTCACGAGATCGGATACCTTCTACCCGTTACACTGAACCACCACTCCCTATTACCCACCAGGAACTGTGGGGCAGGCTGTCCGCAAGGTAGCGAGAAAGACGATTTTCTCCGACCCGATTGCACGAACCCTTGCCGAAAAGAAAACGTGTTTATTTGTTCCCATGTGTACGATATTTCTCGTTACGGCACGGCCGTACTCGATAAAAGCAACTACCAATAGCCAACACACACCGTGAACGCAAACAAAAAACAAAAAACATACAACAGCAAAAAAGGCGGCCGTAATCCGCCCACACCCCTCCCGGAGGAACCCATTTCATTGTTGATTGTTCAAGCTCGTTATGTACGACTCATCAACGCTAGGACTAAGACTCCGCCGTATTCACCCCCTAAACCCACGTGCCTTCAGCAGTATCGGTCGCCCATCCATACACCCCCCGCCACTCGCCTACACTATAGCTGCCGCGCGTACTTTCCTGGGAACCTTGCCCGCACCTCCTCCCCTACCCCGACATGACCTACGGCTACCGTGCGTGGGAAATATTCAGCGCGCCCTGCCCTCGTCTCGACTCTCACCAGTGCCCTGATCGGGTATCCTTGTAGAACGTGAACCTCAAGGCTGTCTTCCTTGTCCGCCGCGTTTTCGCCCTCCGCGGGGGGGGAGAAGGAGGAGCGTGGAAGAGGTACCGTTGCAAGGTGCCTCGTCTTGGAAGACTCGATCGCAAGACCACCCGGCCCAGCATCAAAGTACCAGCACTATTGACGACAAAACCAACACGTTGAAGGAGAGGGGGGAGGGTAAATGGACGGGAACGGACAGGTGGAGGGGTGGGGAGGGGCGGCAGCGGTCAGACTTTCTGAATCCCGCCAGCCTGACGTCCGGAGTTATAGACAGAGGATGCATCGTGCCGAAGACATAGGTTCTATATGTCTGTAAGGAGAAATACCCGTTAAGCGTATCTGTGATTAGGAGCTCTTGCAATGCAGCTTGACATGCAGAGGCGGGCAACCTGTCATCAAAGGTAGCCTATTGCTGATTGTTGCCGTGAGGTAGATTCTGTCTTTCCGCCGAAAACAACGAATAACATCGAAAGCAACATCAACGAGCTGTGTCGCCGAACTCGGGGCAAAGATGGATGGTTTGCAAGAATGAGGCAAACGCCGCCTTTGCTCACGGAATAAATCCTAATGAGATGTGCGTAGCCCAGAAGAGATGTCTGTGTCTCAATGGAAAACCACCAGCATCCACACGCACACCACAACACCACCGCACACGCGTCCATGCAGCATTCATCGCACGTGCCTGAAAGTGGAGGTGGTTCACCGAGGCCGACGAGCCCGCGCTGTTGAAGCCCAGACGGAACCCGGGGTCCACCCTCAGCGCCTCAGCAAAGTCTATGGCCACTGCCAAAGAATACGCGGTCGCACGCTGGTTGTGCGAGTGGGCATACCTGTGGCAGACGGGTATGTAAACAAAGTACGTTAAAAGGGTAGCTTGCGGGTTTTCTCGGTAAGTTTTGTTTTGAGGTCCGGGCGGTCTGTTGACCGCATTCCAAGTTCACCACACGAAATTCGCAACAAACACTCATGTATGTCCATTTTTGCTAAGGCTAAATGTGAACGATCGTTCTCCTTACAATAGCGTCAGGCACGCCTTGCTCACCCGACCCTCCTTCCTGTGGTTCAACGCGCTTAGAGGCTGTTCTGTAATAACACAACGCGGCCCACCGCGGCACGCGGGAAACAGCACCACGCCGGGAGGGACAACCAGGCACCAAAAAATCTTCAGAGTCGTCCCGCGTGGCAACACTCCAGGATCGTTGCGAAATAAGAAATAAGCACCCGGGGAAATATTGTAGCTGCGTTTTCGGAAGGAGGATGGGTGCGACCGACCCCTTCCCCTGCCCCCCTCCGTGCGAGATGAGGGAAACAGAACGTGTGTTTCATCTGCCTGTCACGGTATTCTCGCGTTCTCAAGTTCTCAAGTAACGCAGAGGTTCTCAACGCTCGTATATAGCTCACCCGGGCGTCAAGAGAAGACTCACGGGACCGACAGGCCGGATGTTTACCAAGACCGCGTCCTGCGGAGGAGACGCCGTCGAGGCTTCCCCGCACCCCACCGCAGGTGCAACGCCGTCCAATTTCATCGGCAAACCGACCCCGCCACCGCGTAGGGCGGAGGTAATCGCTACCGCCTTACCCTCTCCCACCTCTGCTGCTCCTCTTGCTGCTTTCGCTGCTGTTGAACCTGCCGCTTTCGCGTCTGTTTCGACGGACACCCCGTCGTTGTCTTTTGCCTGTGTTCTCCGCCCAGCGGCGGCGGCGGCGGCGGCGGCGGCAGCAGAGGCAGCCTCTGGTATTTCTCGTCCGTACCGGAAGCTCGGGGTGTAGGAAAGCACGAACTCTAACGGGCTGGCCTTGTAGAAGTTGAACGCGGAGGGGTCCCAAGGAGACTGTGACGCCACAAGTAGCGAAACAAAGAAAATGTTCCCGTTAAAGGAAGCCAAGTCTACTTTCAGTCTTGTATACTCTAGACTCCCTCCCCACGCATGACGCTGATCTTGAACACATGGTCAATGTGTCGATGTATGGGACAACAGACGTATACCGGTGTAGGGCATAGGGTTGATTTGATTCTTCTCGCTGAGTGACGTGCGCACTACGAAAGAAAAAACAAACTCGAGCAGCTTCGGCGAGCGACCATATTATTGCAGCGCTAGGTCGGCGGCATCGGTTTGCGGTCCCTGTTTCACGCCGTCCGATGTGTGTGTGGGGCCGGTGTGAACATAAGGCATGGCGAGTCACGCCCTTACATTGCAATGATGCAGGTTATTTTGGAACGGTACGCGGAGGGCGGCCGCCGCTGATACCTCCCTCTCTAAGGGTAAACCCCACATATTTCCAACAACAGCGCCGTGCCCGTTTTTCGTCTCGCTACCAAACGTAACAAAAGGAGGTGTGTTCCCACTCACGCCGGAGGCAACACAAGAAGCAGGATACTTGAACCGTCGTTTTTCGACCTTACCTCAGCGGGGCCAGCTGGCGGGAAGGGTTTATGCCGCCCTACGCCATCCGGTAGGCGAGCATCACCGCCGGAGGAGAGGTCGAGAGAGGCAACGCGACGGAAAAACCGGGAGGGAATTGGGTGCATGGCTACCGTAATATAGTCTCGCGTGCCACCGCTACGAAAAAAGCGTGAGGATGCACAGAGTAACCTTTTTGGCAGCAGTCAACTAGAACAGCGACCAAGAAGAGTATATGTATTGCATATTGCCACTTATGAATTCCCAAAAGCCTTCTGACTTGCGGCCGCAAGCGAGATTGTTATGGCAAAACCATAACCGCTGGCTCTGACCCAAGACCGAAGAGGGAAATATTCCACTCGTCTCATCTTGCAGCTGCTTCGTACAAGCCGTGTGAACAGGAAGGGCACTAGCAACGGAAGCTTGACCAGACAAACTACTCACATAAAAAAGACTCAAAACGTATGTGGACGAACACCCCAGATATCTTACAGAACGTGCCGCCACTTGAGAACCTGGGAGTTAAGAAGATCTTCAGGCTCAAGAACAGATACAATTATTCACTTGGCAGATGAACAGGTGCTCATTGAGAAGCCCTCACTAAAAGCGGTTACCCCACAGCGGAATACCGTAAATGACACTAGATAACACACCCCCTTGACCGATTTTGAAAGCTCAATTACGCCACGACGAAGAGGGTGCATACACGACATGATACGTTTTGGGAGAGCTCTCGACGAGACGGCTTCAACGCCGCCGTTCTCGGCCCTGTGACTCTTTCTGCTGTTGAGAAACCGAGATGTGAAAATCGGTCCAGGGGGTGTGTTATCTTGTGTCATTTACGGTAACGAACAAGCCTCGGAAAATACGAGGTTCAAGAGTGGTGGCGCGCCTTCTGTATGAGAAGAGACAAGGATGGCAGCAGTACCGTGCTCACCAACACAAGTCCACCAGGCCGAGCCCACCAAACAGGTAACGAGCGAGGCAGTGCTCAATAGTCGCTCACCAACATTGGACGCGAACACCACTCCCCACCCGGTCTCCTGCCCGACATCTCGTCGCTCGTTTAGCTCGGCGACTTCGTACGCCAACACCCCTCGCTCGTGCTTCAAGTTCCAGAACCACCTTAGCACCTGGGGCAGGGAAGGGTGTCCGGCAGCAGCAGCAGCAGCAGCAGCTACGCCGCTGTCGCCACCGTCTTCTCTCCCCTTCCGCACGAACGTCAGCACGCTACCGGCCTCGCCGCCGTAGACGAAACCGTCCTCGGGGCCCGTGCACCCCGCTACGGTCTCTATCCATGCCGCCGCCCCCGCGGCGCCCCCAGCATCACGGCCGGTAGCGTCCCTACCGCCGTAGTCATAGCGGCCAGTCTGTTGGGCAGCACTATCAAACACCGTTCGATGCCGGTGGGAGAGCGGCGGCGGGCTCCTGGCCGGCGAGCCGAGGATGGTGGTGAGCCCTTCACTGGCTACCAAGAGCGTCAACGTGCCTGCGGTTGGTACGGGGGGAGGGGGGCAGGGCGGGGTGAGAGGGGGGCGCCCTCGTTCTTGAACTTTGAATGACACCCCTCCTGTACATAAATACGGGGTCTGCATGATCGTGCTCGAGATGGTTGGCGATGACGCTGGTGACCCACCTCTCGGACGGTGTGTCAACCTTTACATACGCCAACTTTCCTCACATAAGGGCTTCAAGGCGCCTACTACAGTAGTGTATGCCTCACGAATACTTCTCCCCCGCCCCGTACCTGAGGATAAAATTCCCTGGTGGTGGTCTGCCGGAATCATGTAGCTGAACATAACGCGCAAATCCATTTGCGCTGCACCGATCTCGAGAGCCAATAAACAACGAAACAACATGCTTGACGGAAGCCCTCAGCAGACGTGTGTGTCTTTAATATTAACATGAAGCACGCCAACCGGCTACAAATGAAAATACGTCAGTCTCAGAAATTCAAAATGCCTTTAGTGTGTGTGTCATCACAGTTTTTCCTAGAACTTGACCGTTCTGCATGACAATGGGGGAACACTGGAGGAAGACGTAATCAAACAACATGAGCAGCTTGTTCTTATCCGCTATTCTGCTGCGGTGCTTGCCCTACTGCCTTACTAATATAGTGCAACACATGTCGGAAATCGATTGTATATCTGGATCAACAACACAGGGTGCGGGACTTGCTCTTGTCATCGTGTTTACCCGGTCGTCATGCTTACCCAGCCCATGCACACTCGCAGCAAAATCAAAGGCAGCGTGATGTAGGAAACACTACAGCAGTCGTTCCGCCTTCCACTGCTTCCACGAGGGATGGTATCATTTTCCGGAGAACGTGGGAGAACGAGAAACATCAAAATCCGTGGTACACACACAAGTGTGGCCTGTTCATGAACCTTTGGTGGCCTCCCTGATTCTTGCTGTATCATGCTGCCGATTCAACGCACAAGGCCCTCTTTCCCACCATACGTCACACGCACAACAGCAAGTAGTCTTAGCAGTACTCATCACTCGTTACCTACCTGGTACATGTAGACTATCTATCACAACACAGGTACACGAAGACTACACTGGCTTTGACTGTCTTTCGTTCCAAATTTCTTGCAGACCCGGAACAAGCACGATTGCGATCAATTGGGACCACGTATGCATAAGTGGCTTTTGGCGGTGTTATCCATACTAAACGTGGTGGCAGAGCCAGCCCTTTCCATCCACGATGCCTTGTTCAACCATAGACCCGCCTCGGAGGCAAGCTTGAGCGTTTTCCGAGCCTATCCATATTTCGGTACTATAATACGAAGCTGCTGTGTAGAGTATGCATGCCTACATGCATACTTGTGGTCACCACCGCAAGTAACAGCAGGTGATCGGTGAAACAGCAAGAAAATGTAACGCCGCACGGAGCAGCTCGGCTTGCCCACCTGCGGCTAGAGTCCCTAGGATCATCTTCCCAACCAGACGCCTCCCCTTGGGCCAGTATCGTTCTCGATGCACACCATCGCCTGCTCCGGACGTGCCGCCTGGAAGCTCGTTGGCAGGTGCTGAGCAGCAGTGTCCCTCTGCCAACTCGGCTCCTGGTGCGGGTCGATTGCCGTCGACAGCAGTGTGGATAGCACCGTCGGGGATACCATGCTCGGTTACCGCCGTTCTTGTTCTCCCAGCGAAGCCAGAACTGCTCGCGCCTGCACCTCTCGGGGGGGAATGGTGTGGCGGACTTGCCGACTGCTTGTCGGACCCCCATTCCGGCTGTGCGACGCGTCGATGGTGAATCATGTCGTCCGTGCTACTGTGGCGCTATGTGGGGCGGAACATCTCCCGTCTGAGTGGAACAGCAGTGTGGAACCTTCGCGTACGTTCCGAGTTCTAAGCTTGCTACTACCCCAGCAAGCTCGCGCGCCCCGCCACGTTTACCCCTCTCTCGTCGGATGTGCCTCGTGGAGGCAGACTATGCCAGGCGGGCACCAAGTGGTGTGCTGTAGCACTCCACTCAGCAGGCCTGACTATGCCGCCACCAGACAGCCGATCGTCGAAACAAGCGCATTCGGGGGGGTCCGCCAGTTCGGGAGGGGAGATTTCGTAGATCGCTCCAAAAAGCACAATTTGCAACCCAGAGGAGAGCGGGCGGCGTTGTGCAACATAGCACGGATGCTTAACTACGACTGACGCATCATGGAAGACTAGATCATTTGTGTGTGTGTTGCGCAGGTACTGATAGGGTTCCTGATCGGGCACCATCCGCGCATCTCCACGTGGTGTTCTCGTTTGCAACCGTACATGCTGCTATTGCTCCGCCATATCGGATCACTCAAGCAAGTTGCTGATTTGCTGGCCGCCGTCCCGCACTCCGTGCACAACAGACAAGCCTGTGATTCAGCAGAATGGCGAAGTCGCTCCTGCTCAACGCGCTGCATGACGCGCTGTCGGACTATGTGGTTGGACTTTCGCCCGAGCGCCTCAAGGTCGGGGTGTGGTCGGGCAAGATCGTGCTGGATGAGCTGCAGGTGGGCGTGCTGTGTACTCTTTCATCAATGCATTGTGTGTCCTGCTACTACTGCCGTATACACTGCTACTGTAACTACAGCCCGGTTGGTGCATCACTTCTCCGTTATCCATCCGGTTCGGTTGAGACATCCGCTTCTTCTTGCGCTCTCGCGGCTATGGCCGGTCATCGGGCCAGATTTCACGAACAACTCACCTTCATCTCTGTGAATTCAAGGTTGATAAACGGGACACCTTGGCAACAGCTTGTTGCGTATGCAGCTGCTGGAATGGAGCATACCACCAGTCTAGAGGCTCCCGCAGCGATGGCATGTTGATTTTCACCTTCAACCGCAATCACTGCATGATACTTGCACAAAGAATCTCAAGCGCAAGGACGCTGATGGCTGCGACTGTTTTTGTACAGCAGAGCGTCGCTGCTGTGAATCTTCAATCTTGAGAATAAGAGCACCTCGAGACCTCGGTACGTGTCTAATTGCTTCTACATTGTAGTGGCTGTGTCGCGCATCCGTACCGTACCTTAGGTTCTGTAAGATACCACCCCCCCTGGGACCGATGTTCAATGTCCGATTACTCTGCAGTCAAACCAGTGAAGGCGCCGAACAGAGCTAGCTGTCTGAAAACGTATCCTTTGATTTCTAGGCATCTTCGTGGAAAAAGTCGAGCTTTGATAATCTGAATAGGGGGTGTGGTATCTTACGCCACCTACCTACCGTACTCAATCTATTTAAAATTGATGTAACAGACTTCAAGAGGCAATCGTGCAATCCACTGGCAGCAGTCTGAGCTCCACCATCATGCCACCCAGTAGTATCTAACGTATAACCAAGCGCCCCGCACACTGCCCGTCGTCAGTCGGCTACGACGCCGAAGCGTGCATGCTCGAGAGCTACCCGGTGTGGTGGCTCCCGATAGTAGTTGCAGAATCGCCGCGCGTGTCCGACCCATCATCCGTCCTGACTGCTGCCGACACAGGCGCTATTTTCTCGGCGAGGGTTGCAGATGATCCTTGAGAAAAGAGTACAAGTTTGTGTTGTGTGAATATTCGTCCCATGTATTCTGGGCGCCATTCCACACGTTTGGGCATACCCCGAAGTCTATATTTGGCACACCAGCCGGGGTCACACACGAGGAAAAGTCAGCACTGGAGTTGTTGTAGTTGTTTGCCCAACGTTCCCCCCGACGACTGTCCTTCCCTTTAACTTTTAACGCGAGAAGTGTTTAGCAGTTTCCTCCTTATTGTTTTGTGTTTACTCGTCACTACCTATGCGTTTTCCACGTCTAGATGGCGAAATTTGCACTCCAGATAGATTCGAGAGGTGAATGTGGCAATCGCGCTAGTTACAGGCTACGATGCTTGATAGAAACTGCTGTACGAGGGTTAACCAGAGTACGTGCCTCACCAACAGAACTAGGCAAATCTAACAACTTCCCCTTTGCCCCCGGCCCTTTCCCGCCGCGACGTGTGCTTGCTTGCGCTCCCGTGTGACCGATCTGTCGCCACCGTCACGAACAACGGGAACAACAACGACAACGACGGCGACGACGATGACTGCAACAACATTGTCATGGTCATGATCATTATCATCATTTTATTTTAACATCAGGTCAACCCGAATGCGGTGAACCAGTTGCGGCTGCCGGTCAACATCATCCACGGCACTGTCAAGAAACTTGAGGTATTAAGCCGCACATGTGACAGGCAGTTGGCACACCTGTACGGCCGCCATCTCCGATGGAACATGTTTATGGCAGAGGAGGGCCGCTCAAGCGCCATAGGAAGAGGATAGTTGTTGTTGTTGCCATTGCTGTCGCTGTTGTTTCTACTGCACCCGCTATTCCTGAGGTCATTTGATTGGTGTATCTACCAGATATTTGACGTGCTGCGTTATCCTTGTTTTTTGTTGCTCTGAATAACGCCCGCATTTAACCATCATGTTGATCTCTGTGTAGGCGGATGCATTAGTCCTGCAACGAATTCGCGTGAAGCGTCAATGGGATACGAACTCTTCTCTACCCCCCCCACCCCCCACCCCCGACCCCCCAACCAATCCACCATCGGAACAGCGCCCCGCCCAAAAAAACATCCACACGCACAACTTGAGTCCCCCCCGCTGTCCCCCCCGGCAGGTGGATATCCCGTGGGCACACCTGGGGAGCAGGCCAGTCAAGGTTCTCCTGCAAGGCGTCAGCGTGTTGGTGGGTCCGGTGGATCGGAACTCTTGGGGGGACCTCGAGGTGCGAGAGAGGCGTCTTGGCATCAAGAGGGCCGCCCTCGAGAAGGCGGAGAAGGAGGAGGAGGAGAAGCGCAAGCACGGGGGGAAGGGGAACGACGACGATAAGGTGCGTTCCCTAGGAAGGAATGTTGGGGATGGCGCTTGGAGATGACCGGCCTTGTCAAAGGGCGTGGAGAATCATGCAAGCGGTCGGCCGATTTATAGGATAGCGTGTGCGTGTGAGAAAGACGAGGGGGAGGTCAATGCCAAGGTGTGTTTCGGTCTGCTTGTCGGTTGCGTGTAGAGGGTGGACGCGAAAAAGCTTTGGAACGGTTCGTTGGGTGAGGTTGGGATGCTCCAAGGAGAGGGTTAAGGCAAGCGAGCGGCGACAAAGGGGGAAGCATGTCGGGAGTCCCAGAAGCTGTGGAGCTGGGAAGAGGGGAAGCATGTTATTGGGCGAGAGGAAGTAACTTGTTTTGACCCGCGGCTGGTGCTGACTTTGTAAGGTGCGTGCTGAACGTTAAGGTTGACCTGCACGACAAAAGCCATTTCTCGAATCGCGTGGGATCCGTGTCACGAAATGATTTCTAGGTGCATGCATGATACAGCAGATTCGTTTAGTTCAGGAGTCGCGTTGCTGTTGGCTGGTGTGTGCGCTCTCCTCCAATCGGCGGGCATCGTGATGCCACTGGTTTGGACGTGATCAGTACGTCGTCGAAACATTTCCTTGCCAGAATGCCGTTGTGACTTGCACTACGTAGATGACACAGCAGTGATCGATCGATGCGGTGTACATCTCGGGTTGAAGCGCCAAACCAGTTCATACCAACCCTCCCGTTCGAACGGGCGACGTTGATTGGTCTGTCCATGCAGAAGGGATTCGTGGACAAGCTGGTGCAGCGAATCGTGGACAACATCGAGATCAACGTGGCCGACATCCACATCAGGTATCTAACTTCATCTCTCATTTCCTCCCCGCCACGCCGACACCAATTTGAGGCAATTTCCACTCTCTCGGCGTGCCATCTTGTAACGCTGTGTTCGATCAGCTGCTTGAATCAGGTTCGACCCAAGTAGTGTCCCTCGGTAGCCGATGCCGTCTTCATTGTATAACCTCCACCATTTTTCTGCATCACCATCGAGGCCGTTTCAACTCAAAAACCACGCGTATTAGGTTTCTTTCAAATCCGAGAGTAAATGACGAGGTTGAATATTAATACCAGCACGGACGTAGTATACCAAATATTGCGAGATATTTGAGGACTCCGTAGTGTAGGCCTTCTGGCCCAATCTGTCGTAGGGATAGTGACGACATCGATGACGTGTACAACGGTTCGTCGTCAGGTACGAGGACACGGTGCTGGTGCCGGGGCAAACTGTGTCGGCAGGGGTGTGCCTGGAGTCGTTCGTGGTGACCACCACCGACGAGGACTTCGTGCCGCAGTTCGTTGACCGCACGGGTTCGGGAGGCCAGCACACCAAGGTGCGTGCTTGCCTTGTAGCGACGTCGGCAGTAGAGGCCGCGGAGAGGCCATCACCTCGTGCACGGGACCTCTGAAACATTTGAAATGGGACCTCTAGGAACCCAAGAGCAATCAAACCGAGAACATGTAGAACCAATGGAAGGATAAGAAATATTATCAGTCAGGGTGGTAGGCCGGAGGGCCGCCGTACGCCGTGGTGCTGGACCGACGAAGCAGCGGCGACCAAGGTTAGCGTCAAGGCTGTGTCCGACCAGCACACCAAGATGTGGGATAGGCAAATCGCGGGGAGAAGTACGCCGAACTTCATTGTGTCCATCCTACGGCAGGTCTATCGGCCGTTTGTTCGAAGCGCTATGCCTCCCTTTGTCCATCTCACTGCAGCAGCGCTATACGTCATTGGGTCCAAACACCTTGCCTTTTTCAGCCCAATTCAAACGCGTTCCCTTCTGTGCTCTCATGGCCGGGCGGGGTTAGGTACATAAAATGGCCCGTGTGGAAGGCTTCTCAGTGTACTGGCGAATCGACGACAAGGAGAGGTGAGCCACACCGAACTTGGCTTGGGGTTGTGTTGTGTTTTTTGTGTTACGTTGCTGTCCACAGATGGCTGTGGAAGGGATGGTTCTTGCTGCCTGTTTAATGTTTCGTTTGTTTGCGAGCGCTTCATTTTGAAACCGTTTTTTTTGCGCCATTTTTTGCACGCATTTCACAAATAACAGGTTCGCGTTGCTTCCCACGGAAAGGAGGAGCAGTGCGCTTCGGGATTTCGTGGCGCAGCAGGCGGTAGCCCCGGCGGGGGACAGCGGGGGCGGGTTGGAGAGGGGAGACCTGATTCGTCCGACCGGCGCCGTTCTCAAGTTCGTCCACTCCGACGACCCTGATGACAAGACGGGGCCCAAGTTCGAGGCTTCGTTTGAAGTGAGTCGCTTTTAGGTGGGGGTGGGAGGTGGTTATTTGCCCTTCTGGGCGATCCTGCCCCTCGTGTGGGCTCGTGTCGTGTCTTTATTTCGGTGTGACCGGATCGGCAAAGTTTTTGTGTTTTGACTTCGGGTAGGTCGTCCCGTGCTCTTTGAGCCCACTCACAGCGGCAGTGGCCGTCGCAACAGAGGGGGCGACGTGGGTGCGAAACCCCCAGGCTATTAACTGGAAGTACTTTTTGAGGCGAGAGCCTCGCAAGCGGGGTTGTGCTCGCTTGAACATAGACTCGTGATCTCTTGGATTGTGTTGGATTTTTTTCGTTTCGTGAACTAGATCTGAGCAGGGTTTGGCGGCCGCTCGATGCTGACGACAGGCACGCGCTGTTAGAGTAGTTTCGCCAACAAGAGTGACAAGCCCTTGATGACGTCGAAGCCAAGGCTTGATTTCGAGCTCGCGGTTTGAGGCGGGGGCAAGCGCCGCCTGCAATATGCCGTTGGTTCTCGCTATGTTTTTTTTTAGGTTTCGCGCCGTTTCATGCGGATGATGGTTTGTGCAAGGTTCGGAACCGTTGTCGCGATGACATGGAAGATATGCACTCAAGAAGAAGGAGGTTGAGGGCGTCAGGAGGGTCCTAGGGTTGTGTGTGACCCACACCTTGCTCAACCTGGAGTGTCTCAACGGAAGAGTTCGTAGGCTTGCGAGTAGAGTACACCTTACAAGACCAAAGCGTCTGAGGATGAATCTCGCGCCGTTCCGCCTTGGACGATGTAAGCCGCGATGGTGATGCCCCCCCCTCGTTCGTTTCGTGCTGCATCAGATGGACGACGTCAAGATGGACTTCCGCGCGGAGCAGTACGAACAGGCGCTCTCCCTGAAGGACTCCGCAGCGGCCCTCGCCAACTGGCAGATGTTCTTCCCCTACCGCCCCAAGACTACCCCGAAGGAGGACCCTAGGGCTTGGTGGAGGTATGTATGGGTGAACACACCGGGGCGATAGCGTGGCGGTACGCTCGTACTGTGCGGCCACAGCAGCAGTTAGTCATAACGGGAGCAACGCAGTACGCAGTACTGGCCAATCCGTAGCAGAAGTGTTGATATTGACAGTAGAACAGTATGCACTGCCCATCACTGTGCATTCCAGCAAACGCAACACACTACGAACGTTACAAGGGAACGTTGGAATTACTGCAGCACCAAACCACCGGCAGTGGTAGTAAAACAGCACAGAACAGAGAAGTGGCGGGCGGAACAATAGCAGTAGTGAGGGAGGAAACGGCACAACCGCAGTCCAATCCGGCACAGACGATGCGCGATCAGCAGGGCAAATCTGTGCGATGAGTACAACAATGTGAAAATCACCTGTAGGGAGCGACAACAAACGTGAAATGAGCACCCGTCTCCCACCCGCTCTCGCCCTGCATTATATTGTATCTTCCAGGTATGCGTTCGTGTGCGTCAGGGGAAAGCCGGACGGCTGGACGAACTTGAACAAGGTCAGAGCGTGTGCTATGCGTGCGTGGTCGTATGTAGCTTGTCACTGGCCGACACAGTAGCAAATGAGGGTCATTTTTTCTAGAACGCACAGTAAAAGCACGTTTGTTGTCTGTCCGTTAGCTGATGTTTTTGTTTGCGATGGTATTTCCGTATGTAGGTGACCATTTAAGAAGGTGTTTCTTTTGTCTCGTCTCTCCCTCTGTCTCGCCCCTCCCCTCTCTGCAAACCACCGCTTCAGTCGCAAACCCTGCCCAAGACACCCCCTCAATATGCTTGTCGCCCGTAACAACAAACTAAACCTCCACAATATCAGGTGCTCATGTCAAGGAAATCGTACCTCCCTCTGTTCGAGAAGCTGACTGCCGCTGCGAACAAGCACGGAAAGTCTTCGTCCAAGCGGCATCTGTCGCCGCTCACCGAGCAGGAGCAGTGCAGGCTTGACGAGCTCGAGGAGGAGCTGCCCCTGCAGGCCATCGTCATGTTCCGGACAATGGCGAGGAAAGAGGTGCGTCCGCGTTTATTGCCGTCCTCTGCTGGGTATTGTGATTTACTCTTTTCTTTTCGTGCGTCCTCGTTGATTGGTGGTTTTTATGTTGTTTGTTCTTGTTGTTTGATGCTGTTTCGTTTATTCTCTTGGTGGTCTGCCTCATTGAACGAACTCCTGCTTGTAGGCCAGGAACCGAATGTCTTCGTCTTGAGGATGTGGTCGTTTGTGTATTTTCTCATTTTTTTGCCCGGAACACTCCTGCATGTCGCACCCATCAGCTGCCATATATGTAGCAATAGAACAGGCTACACCACGCCGAAAGCATGCACGTACCTTTGGCGCCAAATGATTCGGCAGCTCAAGCGCAAGCGAGACGAAGAGAAGGCCAAACGAGGGGAACATGACAAGGAGAGTGATGACAAGAAGGGCGGGGGGTGGTGGAGCAACCTTTGGGGAGGCGACGACGGCGACGATACCCCCGTACAGGAAGAGGGCGACGTGGCGATCAAGGACCTCTCGAAAGGCATCGACGACGACGCGGAATCCAAGAAGGTGAGAATGGGAGGGAGGCAGAGACACATGTGGGGGCGAACGAAAAGGGGGGAGGGGAGCAATGTCTGACCCTCCTACTACGCAAGCCCCTATTTTGTTTAGCGCACTTTGAAAGCTGACTGGGGCTGACAGATCGGCTGTCGCGTCCGCCACTGTAACGTACTACGTGAAGTGGCCTCATCGGCGTTTTGTGGGGGTGCAATGTGTCGAAGTTGTTTAGCCCCCAATAAGACATGACTACACAATGGTATGCCCCAAACATTCCCGGTTTTGACGCAGATGAAAATAAACTCCCCGGAGTCAATGGCAACCCTTCTAAATAATGCAATATCACCATCTACGATCAATGGGAACAACGCTCACAGCAGAAATGACGGCCATCCTCACCGTGTACGAACCTTTTTTTCCTCGGGGCTCGTCTGTGGCAGGTGCCCCCCGACTACCTCCAGGTGCGGCTGACCGTTCGCCCTCACGGGTCGATGAGGCTGTACGGGCGGCGCGATCTGCCTTTGGTGGAGGCCTCGATGGCCGCCTCGGCCACGGTGGAGCTGCGGGAAGACGCCTCGATGGTGAGAACTTTACCCCGGCCCGTAGAGAGGGGAGGCCGTGCCGCCAAACCATGATGGTACATGCCCCCAAGAAACAGGCCGAATCGCTTGTTAATTGTAACACGATTCATCGCTTGTATATTGTAACACGATTCCGCGGTACGGGCCTCGAGTTTCGAGATGGCAAGTACGGGTCATCCATCTTTAGTAGTGAACTTGAAGCTTGCAGTTGATGGGATCCTAATTTCATTCGCATATCTGGGATAGCCTTGAAGGGCGGTTTGGGCCGTCGTCGAGCACATCTGTCGTTCATTTGAAGCCGACAAGAGAGGATGAACAAAATGCGGCCGTGTTACCTATCCTGCAAGCTTGTAAAACCTCTCCTGCGTTCCTCCCGTACAGGAAGCACAAAAACAAGAAGAGACTATCTTAGCCCCAAGAATCGCGATGATCTCGATGTGCCTGCGAAGTGACAGATGACGGTGTTGAAGGAGCTGCGATGCATTCAACCATCATCTACCTGTCCCCTTCTCCACTTCCTCCACTGGCCTGGTCGGCGAAAACCGATATGCTCCCTCCCGTGTTGTTCGGGGTGAAAGGGGTCTACTGTCTAAGTGCTATGACCATTGCATGACTTTGAGCGCCCCGCCCTCGCCCTCCCTCCCTCCGTTGGCGCGCGGCTTACGCAGGCGTTCAGCTTCCGCCTTTCCCAGCTGGACGTCCTCGATCTCTTCACCCAAGGAGCAGTGTTCCACCACATGCTCAAGGTCGGCGGCCAAGACGAGACTGCCGAGACCGATACCCCGGGACTTGTGAAGGCCAGAGCGAAGGTGAGGCATTTTTGTTCACGCGATGTGCCATCGTGTGCGTAGAGATCGCCTGGGATTGAGAACTACGGCTCCGTTTCGGAGCAGACTACAATATGCAGTGCTGGTTTGGGAACGACCGTTTACGTTTTCAGAGTGCAGGGTTTCAGGTATATGGTCCCGCAATGCCTCTGAAGTGTAGAAGGGAAGGCCAACAGCGTTCGACGCTTCCGAGCTCGAGAAGGCTTTTGGTTGGCGTAGGTTTGACCGCGTGCGTTGACACCGCATGACCACGGGTAAATAAAACGCCTCCTCGAAGTATTTGGATTATCGGACGGATTGCTCTCGCGGGTGGTTGAGCTAATTATCCCGCTGATGCTCAAACCATGTAGACCAGTGATAAGCCCGGTGGTGATCCTCACCTGCTCACCTTATTTTCTTGTGTAAGAGATAGAAAGGTTTCGCTTGGCGCCCCCACTTGCGTGTGTAGTGTATCGACCGACATTGTGAGCCCTCTACAAGAGCCGATCGTTGTGCTCGCCTGTGTGCGCCCACAATGGTCGCACACCCCACCTGCATGAGCGGGCTGAATGTTGTTCTGTTTCGTGACGGGGGCGTCCTGCACTTGTGCCGTCAAGGTCGCCGCCACCGTCGCTGTTGGAGCAATCGGGGCAATCAAGACCGGGAAACCGGACCATTCGGCGGGGCAGGAGGTGGGAGAGGGAAATATCCTGGCCTGCGTGAACGTGTCCATGACCAAGACCACGCTGGCGGTGGCTATCTGTGCGCTGCCTACCGACGTCGCGTACAACAGGTGGGCGGCTTGTTTCTTGTCCCCTGTACCCCCGGTCCTACCCGGTCTAGTGATCGGAGGGGTGGGGACGGTTCACTTCAGGTGTTGGAGGTTGTTGCATTTCGTCACGGGGGGGCATAGGAAGAGGGAGGGAAAGGAGCGCTGCGCCGTGACCTGCGGTTTGTGTTGGGGACGTTGGTATGATGAGTAATCATTGTGGTAGCAAATGATGTGTCGAAAGATGTCCTTCGAGATATGAAGGCTCTTCACCGCGCTGTCGATGCTACACAAATTGAAGCGCAACAGTAGATGCAAGGGGGCGTCTGTTTCAGCTCTACACACGGAAAGCACTGCATGAGAAAGAATATTACTTTAGTCGTTCACAAACAATGCTCGCTCCCTTGGTTCGCTCGTCCTCCGACGGTATGATCTCTTGTTCGAAAACGATTGCAGTTGCCCCCACGACATCCCTTTCTAACCCTCTCGCTTTGCACACGTTCTATACACGCGAGAAGAGAAGCTAGTGGATATCACTACAAGCACGATTTACAGTCTTTCGCAGCTAATATCTCCACCTCTACTTTCAAAAAAACGTCTTGAAACTGATGCTGCAGTCTTTTCTGAATCACATTCGTTCGTCCACTCGCGGCGCGCAGGGAAGTCGTGGACGCGGTCGTGAGCGTGTTCAGCGCCCGCCAGGCGGAGACGGAGGCGGCCAAGTCCAGCGCCTCCAAGGGGCTGGAGGCTGCACAGCAGAAGACCAAAGAGCTGGCGACCCTGGCGATCACCATCTCCCTGGACGTGGCGGCACCCAGGGTCGTCGTTCCTGTGTCATCCTCCCGTGACAGCGGCTTCGTGCTCCTGGATATGGGTCACATGCTGGTCGCAGGGGGCACCGTGGATGGCGGGGGCATGGCGTACACGGCCGAGCTCAGCGACATGAACGTCAGGCTCCCCGCTAAGAAGGCGCTGCTGGTCAAGGGGACCGAAGACGCAGTGGTCGAACCGTTCAAGATCAAGGTGGACGCAGCCATGGGCGGAGGGGTTTCCAAGCCTGGGATGGCGGTGGCGGTGGAGGTGATGCCCGGGGTGAAGGGCGTCATGTCCCCGGCGAAAATCCGCGGCCTGTTTCGCGTGCTGGACTACGTCACCAAGGCCGACCTAAAGGCGGAGGGTGGCCCAGGCGAACCGCCGGTGGGTCTTGCTGCACCCAATACTGCCCCAGGGGGCGGGAGGGTAGGGGTCGAGCGGATGGGAGACGAAGGGCTGGTGGCGTTGGAGGGGAGCGATGGCACAGAGGAGGACGGGGACGAAGTTGCCAAGCCAGAGCCGCAGGTGGCAATGGAGCTGCACATGAAGCTCCCCACGATCGCGCTGCTGATGGTCGAAGACGATAAGGATGCCGTGAACAAGGATAGCGGATTGCTCATGGAGGCGGCTGGTGCGTGTTGTTGTGTGCCAATGTTACCCAGGAAGCGTAAAATAAATATCTTGCCGCACCGCACCAATCATATGATTTCAATGTTGTTCCGCAACATTCCACGTGACCTCGTGCGATCACCAAACGATCCGCAACCGATAGCAACCTGCTGAACCTTATCCTTCCGTGCTAAACCAACGGGCCCCACCACCACAAACCATAAAATGCTTGCTCTTCCCGCCCACACCTGTGCTACCAAGGCATGTCAATGGATGTCAAGACCACCAAGCGCGACATGACTGTACAGCTCCACCTGGATGCCGTGACGGTTGAGGACAGGGCCCGGCCGGACGACTCTCCGTTCAGGTACATGATCCACTCTACACCGGACGAGACGTCTCACGGCGGTCTGATACATATCACGTATTGGACCTCCACGGGAGGGGTGGCCCTTGTGCCGCCGGCGTCGATCGTGGACACGAACCAAAGGGAGTACGACATGGTCGTGGATGCTCGGTTCAGCACGCTGCAGGTGCGGGTTAGAAAGAAGGGGGGGACTACGAAAAAACTCTTCCTGTCTCTGCCGCGTCCCCACGTAGCACCGCGCATTCATGAAGCTCAGGTCTAGAATGTGGTGACCTGTGGCGGTTAACCCACACTATTTCACAAATGGAATAAGCGTCCATGGAAGTCGAAATTGACTTCCATGCAAGTGGTTCACTGCTTCCATGGAAGGGGTACGAAGTGGTTCCATGGAAGTCACTGTTACTTCCATGGAAGTCAATATCGACTTCCATGGAAGTTAGATGGCTTCCATGATATTAATGAGAGCTCTTTTTCTCCCCGTCTCAGCCAACAGGCCCGGGAACTCACACATACGCCTGCTGCTGTTGTTCAAACACGAACGACGGCGCGGACAGAGAACAGTTACATAGGCGCAAAAAAAGAATATGCATCATCCGTGAATCGAACACGGGTCGCGTGAATGGCAATCACGCATTCTACCACTGAACCAATGATGCTGCTGTGTGTGCGGAGTGAAGTGTTGCGTTTCTAAAAATGGTTTTGATGAATCCCTTTACCTGGCCAGTCCTCAGTAATAATTTTCAGGGTACACCTCGGGAAAATTCCCGCCGTGGTGGGCGGTCCCGGTACTGGCGGTAATTACCGCCATATTCGGTGGTAACGGGAACCGCCGAAGGCGGTACCGCCGAAAAGCGAAATACCGCCTACCGCCTAAAAAGTACCGCCATATTGCAGTACCGCCGAAGAAGTACCGCCAAAAAACGAAGTACCGGGGAACCGCCTAAAAAGAACCGCCATATTGCAGTACCGCCGAAAAAGTACCGCCGTACTGCAGTACCGCCAAAATAGTACCACCATACTACAGTACCGCCGTAAAAGTACCGCCATGTCGCACGAGCCTGTGAGGTTGTCGCACCTGGGAGAGAAAGTAGGCTAGGAAGAGTGTACGAAGGGCGATTTTCCGTGTAGAACAGCGGTTCGAGTCCAGCTGGCCTGCATCTTCGTTCATCTTCTTTTTTTTTTTTTTCTATGACACAATAAATCCATCTCTATCTACAGAAAAAAGTCTAAGATAGATTAGCAATGAATCCATAGCGTCAGCGAAGGGCTATCTGTGTGTCTACGATTCCCGAAAAGCACAAATTTTTTCCTTTTTCTCTTTGTCATATTTTTATACTCTTTGATTTTTTTTTATAATTTTTTTTTTCAGGGTACACCTCGGGAAAATTCCCGCCATTTTTTTCCC